TGAAAATATGTGATAATCAAAGAACAATTAAAAGCTCTTTGTGAAAAAACATATATTACATTATTTTTTCTTTTAAATTACTGCAAAACACTCATTTATCTTAACAACATTTTTATCTAAGAAATTTGTAAATACATAAATATTTTTTCTATATATAATTATGCAAAATATACACTTAAATATTTGATTAGAACAATGAAACAATTACTAATGCAAGGTTATTTACATTTATGATAATTATACAATAAAAATTATATTAGCAATGAATTTATCGTTAATAATAAAATACGTAATTATTAATGAATTATTATGTCGATTATACATATTATATTTATCAATAAATTTTATTAATAGAAAAATTTACGGATAAATAAAATATATATTATCAGCAAATTCTTTTGTTAATAAATAATTTATCAATAAAATCTATTGATAATTAAAATTTTAAAAATTATTAATAATTTAAATTATTGAGAAATTTATTTTTGTACAAAAAAAATTGTAGTTATGATACTAGTTAATATAAAATCCTTAAGAGAAGCTGTGCATAATCCTAAATCCGCAGGATTTTATTTCATCAATTCATGACTAAAGTAGAAAAATTATAATCTCGAAACTTTTCTTTTTATACAATTCTAATAAAAGTTTTAGTCTTGGTTTGACTGCTTAAAATGTAGATGAAGAAGGTCCTTTGAGAATTTGTACTTAACTCTTAAGATAGCAAAAGAATAAGCATTATAGCATCAAGTATTTTTCTTTTAATCATGCTTTTTAAAAATAGTAAACTAATGACAGAGAAAGTAAGATGAAAAGGAGAAGCATGACGCTATCTATATAAAGAAAGATCAGTGGGGCATTTCCATTGTGCATGCCACTTAATTAATAGTAAGCATACATCCAACTATATAAAGAAAAATACACACCCATCACACTTAAACTTTATTTTCTATATTCTTCTGTCAAAAATATTATTTTATTAATTTGACTTTTATTCATTTGACAATCCTATAAATAATTTAATGTTTTATTAGTATGATATTTTTTCATAATATATATAATTTATCTATATTTCAAGTGTAATTTTTATTTATTATGCTTAGTATAAATTTTCATGCTTTGTTTTCATTTTTTTATTTTAATACACTACCATCAGACAAACTTTATTTTTTATTTGGTTACGGTGATTTGAGTTATGAAGGTGTTTTACCGTAGAATTCCATGTCAACTCAAAACAGATTTAAATAACGATCTAACTCATTATCAAATTTCCTCAAACTTATTCATTTTTTTTTTCTAAATCCATCATCTAAAATGAACGTAATTTATGAATATATTGTTATAACCGTAATATCCCAAAATATATAGTGTAAACTATATTAAAGAAAAAACAACACGCATGATAAAGTAATACAGTTATCTATCTAAAATGATATATTTACAGTGTTTCCAAAAACAATTATAAATTTAAAACTTTATACACATACTAAAGTCTACTCAAAACTATACACAAGATTCTACTGAACTAAGGCAACTACTCAGTAGCATCACCTCCCTCCAAAGCTTGTTCCAGGGAAACCTCTTCTTCTGCTCACATCCAAAGGATGGTCATCGCAGAAGAAAAACAGCACAAACATACAAAACAAAAGCATACAACAGGGTAAGCTAGTTTAAACAGAATTAATCATACATCAAATCAATTAAATTCATACAAGCATATTATTCATTCACATCACTTAAATCTTTCACACATAACACCACACTGACTTTGACTGTCCGAACTTAGAATGATTGTCGAGCTATGACGGGTTATGCACTCGTGGTGGCTTCTACTGCTTTGCAAAGCCGTTGCCAATGAGTTTCACCCTACCACACTCACGAGGTTAGTCCGTTATCACTCACCTTGGGTCATACTGGAAGCACCCAAGACTAGGACCTCCTGGTACTCCTCACGATATGGATGAATCCTCTCTACTTGAGAATGAAAGACCATTGGAGCGTCAGGAAAACCCTCAAGATTGAGCTACAATGCAGATAATTCTAAACTTACTTGAATCTGCACTGGAGATTCCACTTTGAATTATAACATAGGACACCACCATGTCTCATCTCCTTGAGGATCACGAAATTACGTCCATTATACATACTTTGAAATACAACATACAACAATAGCCACAAATATTACGTGTTACAACTTCACTTTATTTCATACAACCCTCATTGATTCATATAAAAACAACATAAGATCACACAATAACTTGAACTAGAAATGCACCTCTCGCACAGCGCACACCTTCGCATAGCGAGACTGTAAGCTTATCGCACAACGACCTAACTCGCCTTGCGAAAACTTTAGACAGAGACCAACTACTCTTGATCTCTCGCATAGCGACTAAACTCGCTATGTGAATAAACTGTGAAATGTATCAGACCCCAACCCCTCGCACAGCGTCCCAACTCGCTATGCAAGAACCTCAGACAGAGACTTGACTCCCCAAACACTCGCAGAGCAAGACCCACTCGTTGTTCGAATAAAAAGATCAATGGTTCCAGACCCCAGCTAGTCGCATAGCGATTAGATTCGCTATGCGGATTTACAAACAGAGAGCAACCCTCTCACTTCACTCGCACAATGCACCCATTCGCTATGTGAGTGCCTTGGCAGAGAGCATCTCGCCAAAATGACTCGCTATGCGAATCCATTCGCACAGTGAGTCTCCATAATCTACAGAACGAAATTCTGCAGAACGAAATTCTGAAGAATTATGCAACTCAACCCCTCTTTACCAATTCTACTCAACTTTGCCAACTTCTAACAATCCTAATATGATGTATATACCTAATTGGACTAGACTAAATGATTCTACACATTCCTAACTCCAATCTAAAGTGTTTATGCACCAAACTCTACTCTAAAACCTCCAATTCATCAACTTAGAGACTCAAAACCAATTATACCACTTTAAACCTGTTTTTGAACATTTTGATGACTCAAACCAGTCACATATGACCTATCTACACTACCCCAACAGTTCCTAACAGCCCTTGACCATTACTACTCAAATTCACCACCTCACTTCCTCTAAAACACCCTAAACACACTCAAATCACCTCACACTTACTTCATCAACACCATAACAGATTATATACAGTAACCACTTCTAAATTGCACAATCACAACACTTAGATTCATCCAAACCAACTCATCAACAACATTCCAAAATTTCCACAATTTAACATTTCCAACAACATACACTCACAAGCTGAAATTTTAACTGCACAACATTTTAACACAGAATTTACCACATGTAGTAGAATTTGATAACTGAAACACAACCTAGCTTCCCTTACCTTAGGGATAAACAGCCTCAAACACAGAAACGCTCCAACCGTACTTGCACTGCAAGGAAACTCAACAGAAACCTACAACGCATCAATTGGTGATAGATAACAACACTTATAACCTAATTTGAGCTAGAAATTGGAAAGAGGAACTGTTAACCACATGCAATACAGAATCATTTCATGCTCACAGTCCAGAGAAGAACAGACATAAATGGAAACCACTTACCAGCTGAAGAACACGAAATTGATCGGTCCAAAACGAAGTCTTCAACGCCAGGATCGCCTAGGCACCTCCTGATAGTTGAACAGATAACTCAGCTGAGAGGAAATGTAGAGAGAAGTCAAAGAACTCTGAGGAATATAGTTCTAGAGAGATGGAATATTCTTAAAATAATGAGAAGTGTTTATAAAAATTCAATTTATATTATAAGATTATTTTAAAGTAAAATAATCTATCTCATTATTTTAATACATCTATCTGCTCTATAACACTCTATTTTTCAGGTTTTTACAATAACTATTTTTCAATTCTTCTCAAAATATTTTTATTTAAATATTTGACACATTTTATTAGTGATTTTAATTATTATCATTAGTTATGATTATTTTATTTGTAAAAAAGATAATTATGTATTCTTTATTTTTTTAATATGTTATGATTAATAACTTTGATATTGTTTTTCTTGAATAATTATTAACCGTTTTCACATATATCTGATTAAAGAAAAAAAATACTAATAATTACTTATCATTTTAGTATTTTATGCGTAAAATAATTATTAGAAAATATATGATAATATTATATATAAAAATTATTTTATATTAACTTTAAACCACTTAAGAATAAAAAAACAACTAATAATTATTTTCCCATTACATGTACGTTTTTAATACGTTACAAAAAAAAAGTACTCAAAATAAAAAACAGATTTTATTCGATTGTTATTTTGATCTTAGGAAACAAAATCATAGTTTGTGATTATGAAAAAGAATATATTACAATAATTTAAAATGATGATATCAAAACTATTATATTAAATACAAATGTAAGTATCTAAGTAAATTATGATAATTTTTTTACAAATATTAATAAAAAAAATTAAAGTATTAAATTCAAAATTAATAATAATATATGCAATATCTTTTTAATTGAATGATAAATATATTACTTAATCGAATTGCATATTTAAAGTAATTTAAATATCGTAATTTAGTTTATTTTTTATTATTTTTTATTTCAGCATGAAATTAATTATAGTTATTGACTATGATTAAAAAGGAACTATTAAACTATTTGAGGATTTAAAAGTAGGAAATATCTATGTATCAAAGAAAATCATATTTAAAGAAATTAAAAGTATATTTACGTTTTTATATTATTACTTTGAATCTGACCCTTGACAGGAATTATTATCTAGAATGTGAATCACACGCTATAGAAATACTTCAACGAAATAGGTATAATAGGATAAGATATTGTTTGAAAATTATAAATATTTGATCCGTAAACACGTGTGGGATGGTACACCAATGGAGCAAACATTATTTTGGAATACAAACGTAAATGGGAAAAGAAAAAACACCTGCCAAGAATAATAATAATAATAATAAAGAGGTTAATTAATTTATTTAGATGATAATGTAGATTGTAATTATCGGAATGGATTGTGTGAAAACAGATCCAAAAAGAAGAGATAGCATAAGGGGAATAAGAATAAATGGAAACAAAAATTAGTCTATGGAATGAGAAGAGCGGTAAACAAATAAATTGAAAAGTTGTGAAATAAAACAAGCCTTTTTCTCTCTCTCAACAATCCAAACATGGTGTTTTGAGGTGGATGAGCGTCTTTGCCATGATTCTTCTCACTCCCATATTTCTGTTAACCCTCGCCGCCGCGGCCGCCGCCACCTTCCTTTTCGCGGTGGTTGGGGCCGTGCTGTTCCAAACTGGGTGTGGCAAGAGGGTATGGGGAAGAATGGAAGATTGGTTCCACGTGTATCAATTCCTCACAGTACCTGAACTCAACCAAACCAAACACCACAACCACCTCTACACCAAGCTCTCCCTATACTTACATTCCCTGCCTTCCATCCAAGACTCCCACTTAGCCAACCTCGTCACTGGGAAGAACCAAAACGATGTCGTCCTCTGCCTTGCCCCCAACCAAACCATCCGGGACCATTTTCTCGGAGCCACAGTCTACTGGTTCAACCAACCCGCTCATCCCAACCCAGAAGGAACCGGAACCTACGTGCTCAAGATCAGGAAGGTGGACAAGCGCCGAATCCTCCGTCCTTATCTTCAGCACATTCACGCCGTAGCCGACGAAATCGAGCTGCAAGGGAAGCGCGACTTGCGCCTCTTCACCAACAGCGCCGATGAGTTTGGGCAGTGGAGATCCGTTCCGTTTATTCATCCTTCCACGTTCGACACCATCGCCATGGAACCGGATCTCAAAAGCAAGGTCAAATCCGACCTCGAATCCTTCCTCAGAGCGAAACAGTACTACCACCGCCTCGGCCGCGTCTGGAAACGGAGCTTCCTCCTCTATGGTCCCTCCGGCACCGGAAAATCGAGCTTCGTCGCTGCCATGGCCAATTTCCTCTCCTACGACGTGTTCGACATCGACCTGAATAAAATCCCCAGCGATTCGGATCTGAAATTGCTCCTCCTGCATACGACGCCGAAATCGGTGGTGGTGATCGAGGACCTGGACCGATTTGTGGCGGAGAAAACGGAGAGAATAAGCGTTTCGGGGATACTAAACTTCATGGACGGGCTTATAACCTCGTGTTGCGCGGAAGAGAGAGTGATGGTGTTCACGATGAACACGAAGGAGCATGTTGACCCGAACATGCTTCGTCCGGGTCGGGTCGATGTGCATATCCATTTTCCGCTTTGTGATTTTTCGGCGTTTAAAACGCTGGCGAATAGTTACCTTGGGGTGAAGGACCATAAGCTGTTCCCTCAGGTGCAAGAGATTTTCCAAAACGGTGCGAGTTTGAGTCCCGCTGAAATCGGCGAGTTGATGATCGCGAACCGGAACTCGCCGAGTCGGGCTATTAGATCAGTCATCACCGCATTGCAAACCGACGGTGATGGCAGGGGGTGCGGCTTGATCGGACGGCAAAAGGAGGAGGATGAAATGGATGAACCGGACGGGGTTGTCTGCAGTGAGGGTGTTCATACGGTTAAGGATTTGCGGAGACTGTACAGTTTTTTCAGATTCAGGGTTACGAGAAAATCTTCATCCTCCAATTCTTCCTTGACCGCTACTCCATTGCGATAATTAGTCACTAATCATCACTTGATTGGAAATATATGTGCAATATTCCCAATTGCACTTCATTCGGCGGAAACAGATAATTACAGATACCCTTTCAAAGAAGAACAATTTGGTGGCAAGCTTTTTTGTCCATAGCCAAATTGAACACAACAACAGTTGTTCATGGGATGCAAACATTACAACTCTTACAAGGTGATTGTTTTTGTCCATTTTTCAGCCATCAGCGTCGAACTGTAAATCTTTATAATTAGATTGATACATTGCATATAGGAAAATAATTTACGTAGGCAGAAGAAAGGTTATCCTTAGAGTTTGTTTCCTCATTTTGGTGAACTGTGAATCCAATCTAATGTATAGATTTATTTTTTTAGGAAAACAAAATCCTTCATGCACACTTGGAATATTTCTTCCTCTCCCCACGACCCGAAAGTTTCGTCATAAGAATGATATGTTAATTCATTTCGTTCTAGTTTGGGTTAGAATATAAAGTCTGTAAAAGTGCTTAGATTGGTTACAAATTACGAAATGGTTATTTTCCTTTACAGTATATTTACGTGAAAACGTTGAAAAAGAAAATGAATTTTCTTGAATTAATTCATGTCTAAACTAGCACTTATTTTGAAGCACTGGTCTCTGTTTTCATTAACATATAGCAGATCGATGAACAGAACTTAAAGCGATTGATTACAGTTTCAATAATAACGCCTCACCACAATTTCTGTTTTTTGTCTTTTGTGTGAAGTGTGAACTATATCAGAAGAGCTTTTGTAATGTTTGCTGTTGTTGTGAGTGAAGTTGGTATACAATTGAAAGGAAAAAAACAAAGTCATCGGCGAATATAGTAGTCAATTTAATGCATATCTATTTCAACGCATATAACAAGGACTGGGTTCACTATCACGAAGTAAACACAAACTCATGCATACATGAGTAGACAGTGTTAAATAGCTGACAAAAACTATCAGAAAATCTCAGTTGTGGTTATTTTCCGGAGCCTATCAGTGACCAAAAGTTATATAGTGTTAAACAGTGTTTACACTGTTTAATGACATGTAGTCCTTATTATGAAGAGTCACATGTGTATGATTCTTCTTCCATATTCCCATTTTATATTCCAACCCTCTAACCATGGATCCAACTAGCAAGCATCTTTGATGAATAAAGCAAATTAATTACTAGCCAAGTATATAGTATATAATTTTGAATCTTTATTATTTATGTCATTTGGTTGCGTATTCCTTTCTTTATTCCCCGCCAAACTCAATGATTGTAGTTTTGTGACGGAATAAGAGATAATGTGTGCGTCCCCGCGCATAACCTCACTATTTTTTTATCAATTCGATACTTTACTATTACTAATTTTTTTCATATAATAATTTGGACTACTTATTTTGGTCGTGTTTAATCTTTTCATTTTACTTTGTCATAAGGAGTGATGCGCTAACTTTAATTTTTCCTAAATTTAAATTTCAAATTATTTTTTACACGTATGTTTTTCTTTTTCTATTATAAAGATTTTACTTGAATATAAAAATATCCCATAAAAAAACCTTGCCCATTGACTTGTTTTAAATTAATATAGAGATAATAAGTCAAGCGATCGTAACTAGTCTATGCTATCTCTTAAAAAATAACTAAATTTGTTAAAAAGAGTATAAAAATCTTTTTTTTTTGGGGTGGAATTTTGTTCTTGTGCTCATTCTTAATATACTTGAGTGAAGTAAAAAGTTTAATTTTCTCCCATTTAATTTAATAAAGTGACTTACTGAATGTTATTGAGTTAGATTCTGATCTTATAGCAGAGTATTAAGTGGTGATAGGACAATAACTCACTTAAATGAAAGGGAAAGAAAAAGAAAGTTGTAATAAAATTTCACTTGTGATCTAACATTCTGTATTGCCTCTGGAATGTAGGGTTGGGTAAATGGTAATCAATATTTTCCTTCAAAATGAATTAATGAAAGCTGAGCTGCAGTCTAATAATGCAAAGTGACATTAAGAAATGGAAGAAGCTTTCAGTTCTTTAATTTTTATCATGGCAATGGCATGCACAACAATTTTGCCCTCTCTGCAGTGATGAGGTCACACTATTTATTTCAATGGAAGCAATTTTCAACATCAGGCCAGCTGGAAGCAGTGATGAAGCTGCACTGTGTGCCTGCCTTATTTTTGTATAAAACCAAACAAAAATCGTAAATATTGTTTAAAATTGAAAATTGAAAATTGAATAGAATTAGAGATATTTAAAATCAAGAAATTAAAATTGTATAAAAGAATAAAAACTAAAATAAAAAATAAATAAAAATTAAGAAACTAAATTTGAAGTAATAAATTTAGGGACCAAAATTGTGAAATTGGATTTAATTCAGAAATTAATGGGCAGTAATTAAGACAGTACCATCATCACAGGCACAGCACAGTGCTTCCATACCCACCGGTTACATGACCTGTTACCGACAGCTGGCATTAACATTATGAGCTATTATTGTTCATTTATCCCGATAACAAGAGTTTCTTTAATGCAATAAAAAAGTGTTTTTAAGAATTTCTCTTAATTAAGGCTTACAGTGAATGTAGTCAAGTGCATAAAATTAAGATAACCCCCATTATTTAAATAATTTTAAACAGTCTGTCATCTTAATGTATAAAATAAAATAAAATGAAATAATGGAAATATATGTATAAAATTCTAATGTTTTTTAGTTTTTTTCATCATAAGACAACCCACCGTTTTTGTCGTGAAAAATTGGCTTTATTACGTTATAAAAGTTTATGCTATATTTAATTGTAATGTTAATTAAACGTTTGACATCTTCGTCAACTCTAATTTGGTAGAAGAAAGACTTTTAAGGCTACAAAGCTGAGACTAAAGTAAAATTTTCTATTATTAACGTGTTGTCTCTAATTATGTGAAGTTTTTTCACTTAGATACTCGTCTTAAAAGTTTTGCTAATTTAGTTTTTTATATTGAAAAATTGACTTAATTGAGTCTCTGCCGTTAAATTGACTTAACAGAGTTAAATTTTTGATGACATGTCAAATTGACGTGGACAATTTTTTGAACCTGACATTGAGAGACCATTTTAAGTGGCATTTGATAAAAGAAACATTTTTAAAATTGGGTTTGGAAAACTCCATCACCGCTGCGCACCTCGAACACCTCCATTGTCATCCCCAACTTCCCCTTCCTCCCTTCCTTTACTCCTTGCATCCTTCATCTTCTCTCTGACTTTGATGCATGAAGATGCAGATGGAAGAAGACTGTGAAAACTTAAAAAAGAAATAAAAATTATCAAGTGTAAGGAGAAGAATGCGAAGAGGGTTATGTAAGTCTAAACAAAAGGGTTGGTCTTTGCTGATGTTCATCTCTGCAAGTTTCAGCATTTGGATTTCCCTCAAATTAAATAAAAGTAGGTTTCTTTACAGTAAATTTCCCTGCTTTCATTTCTCACCAATCGATGCACTCTGGGATTTTCTTCTTTTTGTTTCTAAAATGTATAGTGATTTCGGAGTTCATTCTAAACAATGTTTAGAGGTTCTTATAAAAGATAATATATATATATATATATATATATATATATATATAGATAATCAGATTCTGCATAAACTTATTAACGGTTGATTTTTGAGCATTTGATAAACTCCTTTTTTTCCTTTTAAAAAGGTTCCAAAGATTACACCAGCATCAAGTCCAAAACCCGAATCCCCCAAAATTCCTCCACCAAAACCACCCAAAAAAGCCCCTATTTCGCCACCACCACTGTCATTATTGTCTACCCTAACGTTGTCAAGAACGACCACCTGGTCATCCGAGGGGACGACACACATGGAGATTCGGACGATCTTGTAATCGTCGGCGAGGAGGCTGAACCTGAATCCGATGTAATTGAAGGCCAAAATGTTTGCGATGGTTACCTGTTTGATTTGACGGGTGGCTAGGTTGAGGATGGATAGGGCGGTGTTGTGGCAGAGGCAGAGGAGGCCGTTGCAAGAGGTGAGGATCTTGGCGGTGGGGGAAAAGATGTGGGAGAGATGGGTTTCGTGGATGAGGTCGTGGTGGGTTCGATGATGCAGGTGGAGAAGGGTTTAAAATGTTTCTTCTATAAAATGCCACATAAAAGGGTTATTTAATAAAAAAGCCACGTATAAGGTATCTGTAAGCCACGTCTCAAAAAATTGTTCACGTCAATCTGACATGTCATCAAAAACTTAACACCGTTAAGTCAATTTAACGGTAAGGACCCAATTGAGTCAAATTTTCAATATAAAGGACTAAATTGACAAAATTTATAAGACGAGAATCTAAGTGGGAAAATCCCACATAAATAAGAACAACTAAAGGGTTAAAAAAAATTGTCTCGTTAAACTTAGCTACACGGAATTGTTGTTATGTTTTTTCACTATTAACAAGTTACAAAATTTGTATAGTTGCTTATTTTTAAATGTTATAAAAGATTTAAAAATTTCTCAAGCTATTTACTACATACAAATAAAAATCAGTCATGATCGTACTTCTCTTTAGTTCAAACTTACCAAACTCCTAAAATAAATACTGAATTTCAATCACTTCAAGATTAAAAATTATTTTAGGCGTGGATTCGAAGTTAAGTTTCACTATTTTATAAATTACTAAAGGTTTAAATATTTGTTTTTATTGGTCCGTTTATTTTATCTTGAAAAGTTATTTGTAGAAGAGGTTTCGACGTGAAAGTGAGTAAAAATTAAACTATTCAAGTATTTTATTATAAATATCATCTTTTATTCTTTTATCTCAAACTTATATCGATACATTTCAGATTAGTAACAATCTAAGTATAGTTTCATTAATAATAATCATACTTTGCATAAGTTAATCAATAATAAATGTAATATTCTTACAAGACGAGCAATAAGTATGCGTACCATCGTTGTTCAATCCTAATATTGTAATTGTTTTTGTGAGATGTCTAACTATCTAGATATCTCTATGGACTAAACAATCATTCAATAAAAAAATAAAAAATTATTATAAAATATGTAGCTAGTTTATCAATTTGAACAAACTTAAATTGTGCTGTCTATTGTCTATAAATGTGAGAACAAAATTCAACAGGAAATAATGAAAAAATTTCATGTTATTTTCATTCGAAATGACAATTTGTAAGTTTCCATATTTATGATGGAGATTGAAATAATGGGACATTGTCGATCTAAACTACTTTTGGTTTTTCTGCTCTTCCTCTGTATTTCAGGTCTAAACTTTTATGTTTTATTATGTCAAATAATTCACAATCATTATGCTTCGGCTCTTTCCCACTCATTTATCACCTTAACACTTTCTTAGACGTCATCGCTTATATAATAAGAAATGTGACAAATGTAATAATAATTTCTAAGAGATAAATAGAAAAAAATATTATTATACAAATGGCTGTATAAATTATTATATAAATAGCATTTATAGTATAATACTAACCATCATTATATTTGGTATGTTGACTTAAAATTGAATATATATAAGTATAATTACTTTTAAGAGTTAATTATTCAACAACATCGTATTAGTTCACCGGCAAATAATACGAAAAAGTCAGAAAATTCGCGCTAAGCTAACTCAGATTCGTAGTCATAACATAGATAATTGACTGCGACGTTCACATAATTTTTCTTTTCTTTGTCAAATTCTACACGCATTTGCTGCTTTAAGTTTTTAAATTACGGTATTTATGTTTTTTTTTCTTAACGTAAAGAAGTTGTTGTTTTTAAATGACGAGGATAAAACGATTATACGGAATGTTAGCATTCAGATATAAGAAAAGTGTAAATTTTTATTGTTCCCATTATATTATAACTAAATGTATAGTATGACTGTCTTGCTATCCAACGTTTTAAATACTCGACCACTTCACAGATATTATCACGATGACTATTTCGAAATATGTAAATATTATGTAAAAAGATAGATGATGATAAATCTGTAACTAAAACAATAAAAAATATTTAGAATAAATGTAAAATATCGTTATGAAAATGTTTTTTATTTTCGAAAAGAAATATACTGTAACCTACTTTATTCTGCTACCGCAATTTAAACGTCTGAGAATGTTTTTTTAGGAAGAATGATACTTTTTTGTTCATAGGATTAGTGTTTTAATTTTGTAAAATAGTACGAACGTATAACACGGCACGTCATTAGTGAATAAA